TTTTTTTTTTTTTTTTTTTTTTAATAAATTAATTCATAATTTTCCACGTAAAAAAATATAGTATAATACACTCTGTTACATGGTCAATTGCGGAGAATATAAATTCTTTTCCTCTGACGTTCGAATTATCTGCATAAGACTTGCAACTCTAAACGAACAAATAAAAAAAAGAAATTAAATCGCTCCCGTTTTTACTCCATCGACTATAATTAGCGTGGAAGATGGATTGCACAATGTTCAAGGCAATTAACAATCTTATCCATTAATACGCGAGATCTACGTTTATCCTTCTCGGTCGTATAAATACTCATAATTCTGTACATATGCGTGTCTGTCTCTACAACTCCTCTCTTCAGGGTACACCAAGATTACTCTATCAACATAGCAAAACAACAATTACAAACACGCCACACTTGTGAATGCGTAGTGGTGTTTGTCTTTAGATGTATTAGACTTAGAATTTTTTAGCCTTAGATGACTAATAATGGTACCTGGTTCCCCTAGTTGTTTTATTACCACCATGTAACGATCCATTTTTCGATATATGTTCACACTTGAGAATCCTTCACTGATCGCTGAGCGTGTCGTTCTATAAATTTCCTACAAATTTGTAAATATTTTATCGTGTTTCTGTATATGTTACAAATATAATATTTTCACAGATTTAACTGAACCGATAAATCTATGTGTATTTGTTTTTTTTTTTTTTTTTTTAATTAAAGTGAACCCGGAATTTTAATATAGTCCTTTTTTTTCTTGTGGGATAGCAGTTAAGAAGAAAATAATTTTCTCCTAGCAAAGAGGAGACTCTTGAAGGATCTTGAAGTCTAATCAGTCTTATGGCCGAGATTTTTTTGCCTTCTTCTAAGTAATTCAAATTTCTAAATAATTTTCATCGATCGAGTCGTTCGAAAAGATCTTCTCGAGCCTTCGTTTCTATCGCGAGCGTCTGAAAAATAAATGTAATGCCTCTTTCAAAGTAAATGTAATTTATGAAACGCGAGATATCCGCGCGAGTCAGAATAGACTTCCAACCATCGCCAAAGTTAAAGCCGTTTTTCACTGAAAAATAGAAGCTTCTTTGAAACTTCGGCGATATATTCAACGTCGAGGATTGTTAGAAGCTGCCCGCGCGTGAAAGGAAAACTGAGAAAACTTTCGTCATTGTTGGCTTCCTTTCCCGAGAGAAAAGAGAAGGAAGAAAGAAAAGTCCAAAAGCGTCGCGCTGCCAAATTTCACCCCTTCTAAAGTAATTCAGTTCTTCAGTAAAAAAAAAGAAATATCCAGAATCGTTAGACTTCGAGGCGACAAACTCAGCGATCGATCTCGTAGATCCCACTTTCCAGATGACTGATCCCTCGCGAGCAAGGATCGTCGAACTGACGTTTGAATATAATCTTCTAGGTATTGTCTATGAGCGAGGAGCTCAGGCGAGCTCTGTACACGAACAGCGCCGTCTCCATCGACAACGACGTCATCGTTCCCGACCTGGTCGGCAACACTGAGATCCTCAGCGACGAGCACAGGGAACAACTGTGCCGGCACCTGCCAGCCAGGGCGGAGGGCTACCTCTGGACCCTCGTCTTCAGCACCAGCCAACATGGATTCAGTCTGAACAGCATGTACAGGAAAATGGCCAAGGTAGAGAGCCCGATCCTCTTGGTCATAGAAGATACAGAGGGCAATGTAAGTTCTCCATTTTGAATCTCCTCGCTTGTCGGAAATATTACGCTATTTTTATAATATTTTTTATTTCATCTTATAGTTTTTTTTATATTTTTCATTTTATCTTATAATTTGAGTTTCAATCGATGTAATTTCCATTTTTTCTTTTTCCCATCCCTTATTGCTTCGAAGATTTTATAATAAGTTCCTCGAGGGATATGACATTCTTGAGATTAGAGGGCCCCCCCCCCCCCGAAGGGATTTCTGAGGCAGAGGAGGATTTACGTTATGAGGATTCGTTATGAGGCAACCGGTGAATCATCTGTTGCAATCTCTCTCGTGGTTTACAGGTGTTTGGTGCGTTGACCTCGTGCTCGCTGCACGTGAGCGACCATTTCTACGGAACCGGCGAGTCCCTACTCTTCAAGTTCACGCCGAAATTCCAGGCGTTCCACTGGACTGGCGACAACCTTTACTTCATCAAGGGCAACAACGAAAGCCTGTCCATCGGCGCCGGCGAGTAAGTGGCCATTTTTTTCCAACACACTTGGTGCGAACGAAATTTCCTTCCTTCCTTCCTTTCACTGGCTCGGAATACGCGAATACGACGACACAGAGGATATGTTAATTTCATTACACAAGCGGTTTAGTAAGGATTATTACTTATGCTAATGCGGATTAATTTTGTTATGGAACTACTGGTCTCACTTGTTGGTCAAGGGTGAATTTAATTATCACACTCGCCCCTGTGGGATTTTTCCCGGGAAGCATTTTGCAAACAGTTTGTATCGATTGATCGATTGATTAACCCTTTGCACTCGAGAGGTGACTCTCACTCACCACTTGAATGACGCGAAACTCAATGACTGTTTACGTTCAGTTCCTTTGAAGTTTAACAAATTATGAAGTTTAACGTGACACCCCTTCAAATTGAGATAAGATTTTCTTATCTGAAATTAGTATTAGTCTGCAACCACGAACCTGACTGCATGTTCGGTACTCAGTAGTTCGAAATTGACAGTCGTGGCTGAAGGACTACTAAAGTTAAAGTTTTTGATCCGTTTAAGCATGGAACGAAGTAAAGAAATAAGCTCAAGTGAAGATGAGTTTGATTTCACGTTGCTTAACGAGGAAGTTACATCTATACACAGAGAGCTCGACGATACAGAGAATAACTGATGATTGTGACAAAGTAAGAGATGTAAGAAGACGAAAGATCAGAGTAATTGCACAGAAGACTCACAATCGGACAGTTCTGAATGGATTAGTTGTACTGAATCTGAAGAAATATCATTCGTAGCCGGCGAC